TATTGCATCTTCTGTTCTGACAGTAATTGACATTGATTGAATTGAATTCTGACAGTAATTGGGGTATAAATAGAATTAGATAACCATTACTAGGGCAAAAAAGTATGTGCTATTTCAGAAATACTAGTTACTTTCTCGGTATATACTGCTAACCCCGTACAGGGAAAGTTAATTAATGCTGCGGGGGGAAAATAGTGAACTTTTGGCAGAAAAACCCTTATTGCCATTGCCCTGGTGACAAAAACTAGGATAAATCCAGTTGGTAAATATAGAAAGAAAAATCCTCTCACACCTGATGTTCAAACTTTTTTGAACGCAAATGTCTGTCCGCCCATTTGTCTGTCAGTGAATCTAGCGGCTAAAAATCAATCGATTTATCCAAAACTGATATTCCCCAATCGATCTGGCTGATGTCAAAAGAATGAGAACTTAGGAGTAGGGTTACCATACGTCCTCTTTTTCCAGGACATGTCCTCCTTTTGAAGTAAGAAAATCTGTCCGAGTGAATTTTATAAGAAAGGACAAAATGTCATCATTAGATTAACACTCAGTCCACGGTACTACTTTTAAATGTAAACAAGACATATGACGTACAAAGAATACTGTGCTTTTTTTCAAGTTTTTCGAGTTCTTAACATAGTCATTTCTTTCTGTATAAATGACATTTAACTACAACTATCCCGCCCCTAACAACAGCTGGGCAACAAATGTATAATCAGCTAAAGGTACATTTACGCCGTTTTCTCCATGAAATGCAACATTGCTACCATCACGTGATACATTTTGTTTAAATGTAATAAAGTGTGTTCTGTGGTATTAATGGTTTGGGCAAGATGACAAAAAGAAATACCTTGTTTAATGACATACTTAAAAGTTCGAAGCAATTGTTGCAAGATTCAATGCAAAACATAGTTTTAATTGTTGGGAGAGATTTCATCATCCGCCAAATACTTCTGGTATGAAAGTCAGAAATGATAATGAAAAAGACCTATTGTATGAAAGTGCTGACAATGAAGTATTTATTTTGTCAGTAGTAAGTATTTTGCCTGTAAGAAAAATGAATTATTACATTAAAACAGTTTATATGAAGTGTCCTCTGTTGTTTTTTTTATAAAAAATGTCCTCTTTCCATAATGAAAGTATGATACCCTACTCAGGAATATTCAGTCGATATTTCATTTTAAATGAATGAATCTCATATATATGCATTAGATACAATTTTCTTCTCTTTCCAACAGATCACACATCTCATACTTCAGGCACATCAAAATCAAGATCATCCATAGCTCTCACATTACATGCACCCACAATTCACAATATACAATTTTGAGGTTAATCCCTAAGTAGTAAATCAAAAGTAAATATAAATCAATAGTAAATATAAAGTCTGACAAATTGCTGATTAAATCTGATGACCGCTGGTGCTGCTGAAGTAGGCACACTCATTCATGTATTTTGAAAAGTAACGCTATCTATTTACTTTCTTGCACTTACTAACGTACGGAGAAACAGTAATGAAGGTCCTGGTAATGAGAGAGGAGAGATAGAGATAGAGAGAGAGATAGAGAGAAAGATAGAGATAGAGATAGAGAGAGAGATAGAGAGAGAGATAGAGAGAGATGGGGAGAGATGGAGAGAGATGGAGAGAGATAGAGAGAGAGATGGAGAGAGATGGAGAGAGATAGAGAGATAGATAGAGAGAGAGATATAGAGAGAGAGATATAGAGAGAGAGAGAGAGATATATAGAGAGAGAGATATAGAGAGAGAGATATAGAGAGATATAGAGAGATATAGAGAGAGAGATATAGAGATATAGAGAGATAGAGAGAGATATAGAGAGATAGAGAGAGATATAGAGAGATAGAGAGAGATATAGAGAGATAGAGATATAGAGAGAGATATAGAGAGATAGAGATATAGAGAGAGATATAGAGAGATAGAGATATAGAGAGATAGAGAGAGATAGAGAGAGATAGAGATAGAGAGAGAGAGAGAGAGAGAGAGAGAGAGAGATAGAGAGAGAGAGAGAGAGAGAGAGAGAGAGAGAGAGAGAGAGAAAACTCGTACCGTCCATAGCAGTATTCTCATTATCATTTTTCTGCAAGAATACAACTTTTCCATACAATTTGTTTTTACACACAAAAAGATAATTGTTTACAATTCCAAAACAACAAAGACCAGAAATGTTTACCTCAGCAGTTAATGCAGCACATTTAGATTCTGCCTCCTGGCAAGCAGCTACTAATTCATTTAGTCGCCCAAGGAAATAGTTCTTCACTTCCTGTTCCCGTGCATCCATTTCAGCTGTTAATGCCAGAGGTGCTTCTAAGCGACCCAGTAAATTAGTTACATTAACAGGACCAGTTACTGTTGCTTGAGAAGTTGTGTCTCCATCTCCTATACCATCAGAACTTCGTGGCGTGGAAGTTCCACTAAGCGACTGGAGCTGCTCTTCTAAATCTTTCACCTTCTGTAAATATAAAAATAGAATGCTATTTTCAATAACTCAAGAGATTTTCTCCCTCAAATGCATTGGGAAAATGTCTATTCAGTTTTTTTTATTAACGCAAAATAAGTACCATTAAAACATTTGGCAAAAATTAATTTTCAAATATTCAATATAATTCATCAATACGACAAACAGCACATAAGAATATCAAATGTTTTTATGTAACTTCCTCCATTTATAAGACAAAATAATCTACACAAATCAGGGCGCCTCAGAGTGCGTGGGGATGGGCAGTTTTCTTGATAAAACATGGTAGACCAATTAGGGTATCTAATTGACATCATACTATGTAATGATTATGTATTTCGTATTACGATGTACATAATTATTATTATAGTATATTCCTGGAAACATTGATAATTTTGCATTGCTTGCTCAGACTAATATACAATATACAAAAGCCACTTGAAACATGAATAATACAACTAATTGTTCAATAGAGTTCGATTTGCCGTTGTTTCGAAACCATGATTTTTCTTTGTGGAATACATGATATACTCTTTAACGTAATTTCAAAGCAGCACTTTCGTAATAACACACAAATCATGTGCAAAACCTGTCAATAAAAACTATTATCAGTACATAATTGATATGTATTATTAATGTAATTTTATTTCTCTCTCGCACACTCTCTCTCTCGCGCGCTCTCTTTCGCTCTCTCTCTCTCTCTCACGCGCGTTCTCTCTCGCGCGCGCTCTCTCTCTTTCGCGCGCGCTCTCTCTCGCTCTCTCGCGCGCGCTCTCTCTCGCTCTCTCGCGCGCGCTCTCTCTCTCGCGCGCGCACTCTCTCTCTCGCGCGCACTCTCTCTCTCGCGCGCACTCTCTCTCTCGCGCGCACTCTCTCTCTCGCGCGCGATCTCTCTCTCGTGCTCACTGTCTCGCGCACGCTCTCTCTCTCGCGCTCTCTCTCTCTCTCGCGCTCTCTCTCTCTCTCGCGCGCGGTCTCTCTCTCTCTCGCGCGTGGTCTCTCTCTCTCTCGCGCGTGGTCTCTCTCTCTCTCGCGCGGTCTCTCTCTCGCGCGGTCTCTCTCTCTCGCGCGCGGTCTCTCTCTCTCGCGCGCGGTCTCTCTCTCTCCGAGAGAGAGGGGGAGCGCGCGAGAGATTAGAGAGGGCGCGCGCGCGAGAGAGAAGGCCGCGCGCGAGAAGAGAGAGAGAGGGGCGCGCGCGCGAGAGAGAGAGAGGGCGGCCGCGCGGAGAGAGAGAGAGGGCGCGCGCGAGAGAGAGAGAGGGGCGCGCGCGAGAGAGAGAGAGTCGCGCGCGCGCAGAGAAGAGAAGTCTGCGCGGTGCGCGAGAGAGAGAGAGAGGGCTGAGCTCACCCCCAGCGCGCGAGAGAGAGAGAGAGGGCGCCGCGCCGAGAGAAGAGAGAGGGCGGCGCGCGAGAGAGAGAGAGAGAGAGAGGGCGCGCGCGAGGAGGAGAGGGCGCGCGCGAGAGGGAGAGGGGCGCGCGCGGAGAGGGAGAGGCCGCGCGCGGAGGAGAGAGCGCGCGCGAGAGGGAGAGGCGCGCGCGAGAGGGATAGAGGGCGCGCGCGAGAGGGAGAGGGGCGCGCGCGAGAGGGAGAGGCGCAGCGCGAGGCTGAGAGGGAGAGTAGCGCGCGCGAGAGGGAGAGGCCGCCGCGCGAGAGGGATGACGGCGCGCGCTGAGAGGGAGAGGCGCGCGCGAGAGAGAGGGCGCGCGCGAGAGGAGGGCGAGCGCGCGAGAGGGAAGGCGCGCGCGAGAGGGAGAGGGCCGCGCCGCGAGAGGCGAGAGGGCGCGCGGCGAGAGGAGAGGGCGCGCGCGAGAGGAGAGGCGCGCGCGAGAGGGAGAGGCGCGCGCGAGAGGGCAGAGCGGCGCGCGCGAGAGGGAGAGGGCGCGCGCGAGAGGAGACGGGCGCGCGCAGGAGGGAGGGGGCGCGCGCGAGAGGGAGAGGGCGCGCGCGAGAGCGGGAAGGGCGCGCGCGAGAGGGAGAGGTCTGCGCGCGAGAGGAGAGGGCAGCGCGCCGAGAGAGAGCGCGAGAGAGAGAGAGCGCGCGCGAGATTGAGAAGCCGCGCGAGAGGAGCGCGAGACGAGAGAGCGAGAGAGAGAGAGCCAGCCAGCGCGCGACGAGAGAGACGAGAGCGCGCGCGCGAGAGAGAGAGAGAGCGCGCGCGCGAGAGAGAGAGAGAGCGGCGCGCGCGCGAGAGAAGGAGCGCGCGTGCGAGAGAGAGAGAGAGCGCGCGTGCGAGAGAGAGAGAGGGGCCGCGCGCGAGAGGAGAGGGCGCGCGCGAGAGGAGAGGCGGCGCGCGAGAGGAAGGGCGCGCGCGAGGAGGAGAGGGCGCGCCGCGGAGGAGAGGGCGCGCGCGAAGGAGGCCGAGAGGGCGCGCGCGAGAAGGGAGAGGGCGCGCGCGAGAGGAGAGGGCGCGCGCGAGAGGAGAAGGGCGCGCGCGAGAGGGAGAGGCGCGCGCGAGAGGGAGAGGGCGCGCCGCGAAGAGGGAGAGGGCCGCGCGCGAGAGGGAGAGGCGCTGCGCGCGAGAGAGAGCCGCGAGAAGAGATGAGAAGGCAGGCGCGCGAGAGATGAGCCGCGATTAGAGAGAGAGCCCGCGCGCGCGCGAGAGAGAAGAGAGCCGCGCGCGCGCGAGAGAGCAGAGAGACGCGCGCGCGCGCAGAGAGAGAGAGAGCGCGCGCGCGACGAGAGAGAGAGAGCGCGCGCGCGCGAGAGAGAGAGAGCGCTGCGCGCGCGAGGAGAGCAGAGAGCGCGCGTGCGAGAGAGAGAGAGAGCGCGCTGTGCGAGAGAGAGAGAGAGAGAGAGAGCGCGCGTGCGAGAGAGAGAGCGCGAAGCAGGAAGAGAGAGCGCGCCGAGGGAGAGATTGAGCCGCGCGAGGGATGAGAGGCAGCGCGCGAGAGAGAAGAGAGCGCGCGCGAGAGAGAGAGAGCGCGCGAGAGAGAGCGGCGCGCGAAGGAGGAGATGAGCAGCGCGCGAAGGAGAGATGAGCGGCGGCGCGAGCGAGAGAGAGCGCGCGCGAAGGAGAGAGAGCGCGCGAAGCGAGAGAGAGAGCGCGCGAAGGAGAGAGAAGAGGCGCTCTGCGAAGAGAGAGAGAGCGCGCGAAGGAAAGAGAGAGGGGCGCGCGAGGAGAGAGAGAAGCGCGCGAAGAGAGAGAGCGCGCGACGGACGAGAGAGCGCGCGAGGGAGAAGAGAGCGCGCGAGGACGAGCAGCCGCGCGCGAGAGAGAAGAGGGAGCGGCGCGCGAGAGAAGAGAGACGGCGCGCGAGAGAGAGGCGCGCCGAAGGAGAGAGAGCGCGCCGCGAAGGAGAGAGGAGCGGGCGAAGGAGAGAGAGCGCGCGCGAAGGAGAGAGAGCGCGCGAAGGAGAGAGAAGCGCCGACGAAGGACGAGAGAAGAGCGCGAGCGAAGGCAGAGACGAGCAGCGCAGCGAGGAGTAGACGTGAGCGCGCGAAGGAAGAGAGAGAGCGCCGCGAAGGAGAGAGAGAGCGCGCGAAGGGAGAGATGAGCCGCCGCGAAGGAGAGAGAGCGCGCGCGAGAGGAGGAGCGCGCGCGATAGAGAGAGAGAGCGCAAGAGAGATTAGCGAGAGAGAGCGCGCGAGAAGAGAGCGCGCGCGAGAGAGAGCGAAGAGAGAGAGCGAGAGAAGAGGAAGCGCGAGAGAAGAGAAGCGCCGCGAAGAGAGAGAGAGAGAGAGCGCGCGGCGAGAGAGAGAGAGCGCGCGCGAGAGAGAGCGAGAGAGAGCGCGCGCGAGAGAGAGAGCGAGAGAGAGCGCGCGCGAGCAGAAGAGAGCGAGAGAGAGCGCGCGCGAGAGAGAGAGCGAGACGAGGAGCCGCGCGAGAGAGAGAGAGCGCCGCGAGAGAGAGAGAGCGAGAGAGAGATAGAGACCTGCGGCGCGCGAGGCAGAGCCTGGCGCGCGGAGAGAGAGAGGACCGCGCGCGAGGAGAGAGAGACCGCGCGCGAGAGAGACGAGACGCGCCGCGAGAGAGAGAGACCGCGCGCGAGGAAGAGAGACCGCGCGCGAGGAGAGAGAGCCGCGCGCAGAAGAGAGAGAGACCGCGCGAGAGAGAGGAGACCGCGCGCTGAGAGAGAGAGACGCGCGCCGAGAGAGAGAGACCTCGCGCGCGCGAGAGAGCAGAGACGCGCCGCGAGAGAGAGAGACCGCGCGCGAGAGAGAGAGGACCGCGCGCGAGAGAGAGAGACCGCGCGCGAGAGAAGAGACCGCGCGCGCGAGAGAGAGAGACTGGCGCGCAGAGAGAGAGAGACGCGCGCGAGAGAGAGAAGACCGCGCCGCGAGAGAGAGAGACCGCGCGACGAAGAGAGAGACCGCGCGCGAGAGAGAGAGCACCGCGCATGAGAGAGAGACCGCGCGAGAGAGAGAGTAGGACCACGCCGAGAAGAGAGAGAAGCACGCGCGAGGAGAGAGAGAGACCGCAGCGCGAGAGAGAGAGATGAGCGCTGAGAGAGAAGATGAGCGGCAAGAGAGAGAGAGCGTGCGCGAGGACAGTGAGCACGAGAGAGAGATCGCGCGCGAGAGAGAGAGTGGGGCGCGCTGAGAGAGAGAGTGCGCGCGATGAAGAGAGTTGCGCGCAGAGAGAGAGTGCGCGCAGAGATTAGCAGACGTCGCGCGGAGAGAGAGATGCCCCGCGAGAGAGAGAGTGCGCGCGAAGAGAGAGAGTGCGCCGCAGAGAGAGAGTTGCGCGCAGAGAGAGCAAGTGCGCGCGGAGAGAGAGAGCGCGCGCCGGAGAGAGCGAGAGACGCGAGCGCGCGCGACGAGAAGCGCAGAGAGGAGCGCGCGCGAAAGAGGAGAGAAGCGCGCGCGAGAGAGAAACGCGCGTGAGAGAGAGAGAGATGTGAGCGAAAGAGAAGCGCGCGAGGAGAGAAGAGTGTGCGAGATAGAAATAAAATTGAACATTTAGATAATACATATCAATTATGTACTGATAATTAGTTTTTTATGACAGGTTTGTTTGCACATGATTTTGTGTGTGATTAACGAAATTGCTTTTCTGCTTTTGAAATTACGTTTTAAAGAGTATTTATCCATGTATTCCACCAAAGAAAAATCATGCGTTTTCGGAAAACAAACGGCAAATCCGAACTCTTATTGAACAATTAGTTGTTATTATTCATGTTTGTCAAAAAGTGTGGCGTTTGTATTAATTGTATAATTTAGTCTGAGGGCAACAATTGCAAAAATTTATTGCCATTTGTTTCCAAGGGGGAAAATATTACTATTAATTTTAATAATTATGTACATGTCGTAATACGAAAAATACATAATCACAATAGTATATTTGATTGTCAATTAGATACCCTAGTTTGGTCTACCATTGTTTATCAAGAAAAACTTGCCCATCCCACGCACTCTAGGCGCCCTTGATTTGTGTAGATTATATTCTCCC